TCAGATCCATCGGAACTCATAAAAAAGTGTTGCAGAACATCAGGAAAACCCCAAATAATGGGGTCCGCATGGGTGCCAAGTAGTCTACAGGAAACAGTTTGCAGAAAACTTATGCACACTGATAGATCAGTAAAAGTTTTCCCCTGACATTAAGTCAAATAATAATAATAATAATAATAATAATAATAATAATAATAATAATAACTTTTTATACTGCTCTATCTCTCCGAGGGGGACTCAGGGAGGTTTCCAGCAACATCACCAAAACATACAGAGTAAACAGCATAATGTAAAATTAACAAATCAACATAAGCATAGGGATTCTATTGTTATTAGTAATTAAGGGTAATATTCTCAGTTCTTGTGGGTTTTTTTGGGCTATATAGCCATGTTCTAGAGGCATTTCTCCTGACGTTTCGCCTGCATCTATGGCAAGCTTCCTCAGAGGTCTCTGACCTCTGAGGAAGCTTGCCATAGATGCAGGCGAAACGTCAGGAGAAATGCCTCTAGAACATGGCCATATAGCCCGAAAAAACCCACAAGAACTGAGTGATTCCGGCCATGAAAGCCTTCGACAATACATAATCCTGCCTGTTCAGAGCAATTAAAAGGCCAGGCCAAGGCTAGTGCAAACTCAAAATATGAGGGGACTGGGAATTAAGTACAGTGCTATAACAGGCTAACAGCAATGCTCCTTTCCAGGGCCTATTTGAGTGATAGAATCGTAGAATCATAGAATCAAAGTGTTGGAAGAGACCTCCTGGGCCATCCAGTCCAACCCCATTCTGCCAAGAAGCAGGAATATTGCATTCAAATCACCCCTGACAGATGGCCATCCAGCCTCTGTTAAAAGCTTCCAAAGAAGGAGCCTCCACCACACTCCGGGGCAGAGAGTTCCACTGCTGAACGGCTCTCACAGTCAGGAAGTTCTTCCTCATGTTCAGATGGAATCTCCTCTCTTGTAGTTTGAAGCCATTGTTCCATTGCGTCCTAGTCTCCAGGGAAGCAGAAAAGAAGCTTGCTCCCTCCTCCTCTGGCTTCCTCTCACATATTTATACATGGCTATCATATCTCCTCTCAGCCTTCTCTTCTTCAGGCTAAACATGCCCAGCTCTTTAAGCCACTCCTCACAGGGCTTGTTCTCCAGTTCCTTGCATTTAGTCGCCCTCCTCTGGACACATTCCAGCTTGTCAATATCTCTCTTGAATTGTGGTGCCCAGAATTGGACACAATATTCCAGGTGTGGTCTAACCAAAGCAGAATAGAGGGGTAGCATGACTTCCCTAGATCTAGGCACTATGCTCCTATTGATGCAGGCCAAAATCCCATTGGCTTTTTTTGCCTCCACATCACATTCCTGGCTCATGTTTAACTTGTTGTCCACGAGGACTCCAAGATCTTTTTCACACGTCCTGCTCTCCAGCCAGGCATCATCGTCCCCCATTCTGTATCTTTGCGTTTCGTTTTTCCTGCCAAAGTGGAGTCTCTTGCATTTGTCCCTGTTGAACTTCATTGTGTTAGTTTTGGCCCATCATCTCTCTAATCTGTCAAGATCGTTTTGAATCCTGCTCCTGTCCTCTGGAGTCTTGGCTTTCCCTCCCAATTTGGTGTCGTCTGCAAACTTGATGATCATGCCTTCTAGCCCTTCATCTAAGTCATGAATGAAGATTCTGAGCAGGACCGGGCCCAGGATGGAACCCTGCGGAACTCCACTTGTCACTTCTTTCCAGGATGAAGAGGAAGCATTGGTGAGCACCCTCTGGGTTTGTCCATTTAACCAATTACAGATCCACCTCACAGTAGTTTTGCCTAGCCAACATTGGAAGTAGAAGGCCATATTCAACAATGTTTGGGGTTGGGCTAGAACTTGTCATTCTCAAAGGCTTGTTGAAACCACCAGGTCTTCAAGCTCTTACGAAAGGAGGGGAGGGATGGGGCCTGTCTTATTTCCCTTGGAAGGGCGTTCCAGAGGCAGGGGGCTACCACTACGAAGGCCCTCTCTCTCGTCCCCACCAACCATACTTGTAACAGTGGTGGGAGTGAAAGGAGGGCCTGTCTGGAGATCCTAAAGTTTGCGCCGGTTCATAGGATATGTGACTGTGAAGATAGGTGGGGCCTGAACAGAGGTGGCCCTAGGTAATTTTCAATGGTAAGCAAACAGTATTTTGGCCCCCACCCCCCCCCCCAACCAATAGCTGATATATATTTTCTGTTCGTCATGGGGGTTCTGTGTGCCATATTTGGTTCAATTCCATCATTGGTGGAGTTCAGAATGCTCGTTGATTGTAGGTGAACTATACATTGTAGGTGAACTACAACTCGCATATGTCAAGGTCTATTTTCCCCCAAGAGCGCCTCAAACCGCATTGAGTTGCCTGTTTGGGCTGAAAAATGCGGTATAGAAATAAAGCAAATAAATAAATAAATAATAAGTAAATAAAATAAATCAACTATACTGCAAATGCTTACTTTGCGTAATGGGTTGAGCCGCCCCTGGGCCTGAACCATTTAGGGCTTTATAGGTCATAACTTCCACCTTGAATTTGGCTCGGCAACTTATCGGCAGCCAGTGAAGCTGTTTTAATAGGGGCGTTGTATGCTCCCTATACTTTACTCCAGTAAGGAGCCTGGCTGCTGCCCGTTGTACCAGTTCAAACTTCTGGGCTTTCTTCAAGGGCAGCCCCACGTAGAGCGCATTGTAATAGTCCAGTCTGCATGTAACCAAGGCGTGGGCTACCCTGGCCAACTCAGACTTCATGAGGTATGGTTGCAGCTGGTGCACATGTTTGAGTTGTGCAAAAGCCCTCTTGGCCACCGCCCACACCTGGGCATCAAGTGACAACATTGAATCCATAAGAAACCCCAAGCTACTGTCTAGTTATGTCTGACTCTGGTGTGTGTGTTGCTCATCTCCATTTCTAAGCCGAAGAGCAGGAGTTGTCCGTAGACACCTCAAAGGTCATGTGGCTCGCATGACTGCATGGAGCGCCATTACCTTCCTGCCAAAATGGTACCTGTTGATCTACACAGACTTGCATGTTTTCGAACTGCTAGGTTGGCAGAAGCTGGGGCTAACAGCAGGATTCATAGAATTCTAGAGTTGGAAGGAAATCAGAAGACGCTTCCTTCTTGGGAGGAGAGCAATGTCCAATCTCGATAAAATCGTAAAGAGTAGAGACATCAGACTGGCAACAAAGATCCATTGCCTAGTCCAAGCCATGGTATTCCCTGTCGTCACCTACGGATGTGAGAGCTGGACCTTCGGGAAGGCTGAGCGAAGGAAGAGAGATGCTTTTGAGCTGTGGTGTTGGAGGAAAGTTCTGAGAGTGCCTTGGACTGCCAGAAGATCCAACCAGTCCATCCTCCAGGAAAGAAAGCCCGGCTGCTCACTGGAGGGAAGGAGACTAGAGACAAAGTTAAAGTCCTTTGGCCACATCAGGAGGAGACAGCAAAACCTAGAGAAGGGAATTATGCTGGGGAAGGTAATGGTAAAGGTAAAGGTAGTCCCCTGACATTAAGTCCAATCATGTCTGACTCTGGGGTGTGGTGCTCATCTCAATTTCTAAGCCGAAGAGCCAGCGTTGTCCGTAGACACCTCCAAGGTCATGTGGCCGGCATGACTGCATGGAGCGCCGTTACCTTCCCGCCGGAGCGGTACCTATTGATCTACTCACATTTGCATGTTTTCGAACTGCTAGGTTGGCAGAAACTAGGGCTGACAGCGGAAGCTCACGCCGCTCCCCGGAATCGAACCTGCGACCTTTCGATCAACAAGCTCAGCAGCTCAGTGCTTTAACCCACTGCGCCACCGGGGGCTCCTTATGCTGGGGAAAGTGGAAGGCAAAAGGAAGAGGGGCCGACCAAGGGCAAGATGGATAGATGGCATCCTTGAAGTGACTGGACTGACCTTGAAGGAGCTGCGGGTGGTGACGGCTGACAGGGAGCTCTGGCGTGGGCTGGTCCATGAGGTCACGAAGAGTCGACTGAACGAATGAACAACAACAAGAGTTGGAAGAGACCTCATGGGTCATCCAATCCAAACCCATTCTGCCAAGAAGCAGGAAAATTGCATTCAAGGCACCCCTGACAGATGCCCATCCAGCCTCTGTTTAAAAGATTGGGGGGAGCTCACCCCACTCCCCGGATTCAAACTGCCAACCTTTTGATTGGGATGTTGAGCAGCTCAGCGGTTTAACCCACCCTGAAGTCAGGGCCGTAGCCAGAAAAAAATTTCGGGGAGGGTTGAAAATTTGGGGGGGGGGGTTGAAACCTGCCTCCTAGCTCACACTGAAGCAAAGAGCACAGCAGGGGGCAGAGCAGCCTTCAATAGCCTGCAGCTCTGCCCCTGTCAACCACCTCCACCAAGTCTGGCCTCCTTAATGAGAGCATTCAACACTCCCCCCCCCCAACATCGGCTATTGCTGCAAGTAATGACAGTGTGAATAAATTGTCAATATTTGCTTGAGCTAGTGCTTGCAGTTCTGAAGGGACTCTTAATTTTTTGTGTCTCATAGACTTCGCATGGGGATTTGGTTAACCAGTTAAAATTCATGAGTAAACCAAGTTTTTTAACCTGAAAAATTTCGGGGGGGGGGGGGTGAACCCTAACCCCCCCCCCCCCAAACCCACAGCTACAGGCCTGGTGCCACCATAGATACCTGCTAACTGAAATCTTCACATTTGCTTCAAACAGACAAGAGTTCTTTCTCCCACCCTGGACATTATGCCACAGGTATACATACGCTCCACTGGCCTCATTTCCACAGATCTCCATTAGCCACCGATGCAGGCAAAACGTCACGAGAGAATGCTGCTGGAACATGGCTGTACAGCTCAAAAACTCACAGCGACCCAGTGATTCCGGCCATGAAAGCCTCCGACAACACAACAAGGTGTCTGTTCCAAAAGCAACATGACATAACATTTGAAAGGAGGGGAAGTCAAAGAAGAGGGGACCTCACGTGACCCCAAAGTGGGTCCTCCAAGGCGGAGAGACCTACCTGCCCCCAAGCGCCAGTGTTATATCCCTCCTTTGACCGGCGGCCCACATCGGCCTCCTCCGCCGCTGCGTATTTGGCACATTCCTCTTATTGTACAAAGAAACCCTTTGAGGGGAAAGTCTGGGAGAGGGATGTGAAGAAAGAGGAAGGACAGAGAGCCCCACGTTGGCCACGGAGGCAGGAGAAAGTGGCCACGGCCTGCGCCATTTCAGCCTGGCAATTGGGGGGGGGGGTGGAATGTGGGGCCAATGGGGGTGCCTTTGCAGCAGAGAGCCTTCGCCGGGAATATAAAAGCAAAGCTGGCACCGGCCCAGTTTGCCCGCAGATTCCCGGGGCCAGCCAAGGTTCATAATGGCAGCAAAAGGCTCCGCGGAGATGCTTTTTGGGAAGAGATGGATGCAGGGGAGATATTTTTAATGCCCCATTTTTCGTGCCCACAAAACACCCACATCTCCACAACATCTGGGCTGGGATAGATGGCCACCTGTCAGTAGGCCTTGGACAGCTTTGGATAGTCATGTGTTCTCCAGATTTGGAGGTCTGGGTGGCCATCTGTCAGGAGGGCTTGTTTCGTGCATTCCTGCTTGGAGATATGGGTGATGAACTCTGCAAAGGTTCATAGAACTAGAAGTAAATCGAAGAACCATCCGGCTCTACCGCTACACAATCAAAGCCCTCCTGACAGATGGCCATCACAGCTCTGTTTATAGAATCATGGAGTTGGAAGAGACCCCCAAAGGCCATCCAGCCCAACCCTCTTCTGCCATAAAGGAATGCACAAACCAAACCTTCCTGAAATCCCAGCTCTGTTTATAGAATCATGGGATTAATCCTAGAGTTGGAGAAGGACCCCCCAAAGGCCATCCAGTCCAACCCTCTTCTGCCATACAGGAATGCACAAACCAAACCTTCCTGACAAGTGGCAATCCCAGCTCTGTTTACAGAATCACAAAACGAATCCTAGAATTGGAAGGGAGTCCCAAAAGCCACCCAGTCCAACCTGTTTCTCCAACACAAATGCACAAACCAAGCTCTCCTGACAGATGGCCATCCAGACTCTGTTTAAAGACTTCCAAATCTGGAGAACACATGACTTTCAAAAGCTGTCCATGATGCACCAGAGCTGGAAGGGACCTCCAGATGGCTGCCTAGGCTCTGTTTGTAGAATCATGGAATGAAACCTAAAGCTGGAAAAGAACCCCCAAAGGCCATCCAGTCCAACCTCCTCCTGATCATAGAACAAATGCTAGAGTTGGAAGGGACTCGCAAAGGCCATCCAGTCCAACCTCCTTCTCCTGAACATACAACAAATGCTAGAGTTGGAAGGGACTCGCAAAGGCCATCTAGTCCAACCTCCTTCTCCAAGCACAAATGCACAAACCAAGCCCTCCTGACAGATGGCTGCCTAGGCTCTTTTAGCAGAACTGTGGAATGAATCCTAGAGTTGGAAAAGGACCCCCAAAGGCCATCCAGTCCAACCTCCTTCTCTTGATCACAGAACAAACCCTAGAGTTGGAAGGGACCCCCAAAGGCCATCTAGTCCAACCTCCTTCTCCTGATCATAGAACGAACCCTAGAGTGGGAAGGGACCCCCAAAGGCCATCCAGTCCAAACTCCTTCTCCTGATCATAGAACGAACCCTAAAGGGACCCTAAAGACTATCCAGCCCAACCTCCTTCTCCTGATCATACAACAAATGCTAGAGTTGAAAGGGACCTCCAAAGGCCATCTAGTCCAACCTCCTTCTCCAAGCACAAATGCACAAACTAAGCCCTCCTGACAGATGGCTGCCTAGGCTCTTTTTGAAGAATTGTGGAATGAATCCTAGAGTTGGAAAAGGACCCCCAAATGCCATCCAGTCCAACCTCCTTCTCCTGATCATGGAACAAATACCAGAGTTGAAAGGGACCCCCAAAGGCTATCCAGTCCAACCTCCTTCTCCTCATCATAGAACGAACCCTAGAGTTGGAAGGGACCCCAAAGGCCATCTAGTCCAACCTCCTTCTCCTGATCATAGAATGAACCCTAGAGTTGGAAGGGACCCGCAAAGGCTATCCAGTCCAACCTCCTTCTCCTGATCATAGAACAAATCCCTGAGTGGAAAGGGACCCCCAAGTGCCATCCAGTCCAACCTTCTTCTCCAACACAAATGCACAAACCAAGCTGTCCTGACAGATGGCCATCCAGACTCTGTTTAAAGACCTCCAAGTCTGGAGAACACACAACTTTCAAAAGCTGTCTGTAATGCACCAGAACTGGAAGGAACCTCCAGATGACCTTTACAGCCTGAAAGACAGTTACATCTGTCAAGTAGGAAATGTAGGTACCGCTTTATGCGGAGAGGCTAATTTAACTAATTGACATCACCATAAAACCTTCCAGCAGCATGCAGAAGAATGGGGAAGTACTCCATCAAGGACTCACATGTCACAAGTGGACGGTGAAGCAGCAGCTCCCCCTGTGGCTGGAATTGAGCATACCCTCATGATGCCGGAAAAGCTGGAGTGTTAAATTGCTTGTGTCTCTCTATATATGTTGTATGTTTAATGGATTTGAAAGTTTTCCATGTATATGTGCATTGTAATCCACTCTGAGTCCCCTGTGGGGTGAGAAAGGTGGAATAGAAATACTGTAAATCTATATAAATAAAAATGTAATGTTCGTTTGTGGGATTAACAGAACTTAAAAACCACTGGGGGAATTGACACCAAATTTGGACACAAGACACCTAACAACCCAATGTATGTCCTTCACTCGTAAAAACACTGAAAAACACAACAGAAGGGACTTAAAAAGCCCCCAAAAGCTAAATGACAATACAGAAAAAAGGGAAGAAAGAGGGAGGGAAGGGGAGAAAAGAAAGAAAGAAAGAAAGAAAGAAAGAAAGAAAGAAAGAAAGAGGGAAAGAAAGAAAGAAAGAAGGAAAGGGAGAAGGAAGCATGGAAGCAAAGAGAGAAGGAAGAAAAGAGGTAGAGAAGGAAGAAAGGAGAGAAAGAGGGAGGGAAAGAAAAAGGGAGGAAGGAAGGAAAGTTAGAGAAGGAAGGAAGGAGAGAAGGAAAGAAAAAGGGAAAGAAGGAAGGAAAGAGGGAGCGAAGGAAAGGGGGAAGATGTAGAGAAAGAGGGAGGGAAGGAAAGAGAAGGAAGAAAAGAGAGACAGCAGAAGAGAAAGAAAAAGGGGAAAGGAAGGAAAGAGATAGAGAAGGAAGGAAGAAGAGAAGGAAAGACGGGAAGGAAGGAAGAAGGAAAGGAAAAAGGGAAAGAAGGAAGGAAAGAGGGAGCAAAGGAAGAGGGAAGATGTAGAGAAAGAGGGAGAGAAGGAAAGAAGGAAAGAGAAGGAAGACAAGAGAGACAGCAGAAGAGAAAGAAAAAGGGGGAAGGAAGGAGAGAGATAGAGAAGGAAGGAAGAAGAGAAGGAAAGATGGGAAGGAAGGAAGGAAGGAGAGAAGGAAAGGAAAAAGGGAAAGAAGGAAGGAAAGAGGGAGCGAAGGAAGGGGAAGATGTAGAGAAAGAGGGAGGGAAGGAAAGAGAGAAGGAAGAAAAGAGAGACAGCAGAAGAGAAAGAAAAAGGGGGAAGGAAGGAAGAAGGAAAGGAAAAAGGGAAAGAAGGAAGGAAAGAGGGAGCAAAGGAAGAGGGAAGATGTAGAGAAAGAGGGAGAGAAGGAAAGAAGGAAAGAGAAGGAAGACAAGAGAGACAGCAGAAGAGAAAGAAAAAGGGGGAAGGAAGGAGAGAGATAGAGAAGGAAGGAAGAAGAGAAGGAAAGATGGGAAGGAAGAAAGGAAGGAGAGAAGGAAAGAAAAAAAAGGGAAAGAAGGAAGGAAAGAGGGAGCGAAGGAAGGGGGAAGATGTAGAGAAAGAGGGAGGGAAGGAAAGAGAGAAGGAAGAAAAGAGAGACAGCAGAAGAGAAAGAAAAAGGGGGAAGGAAGGAAAGAGATAGAGAAGGAAGGAAGAAGAGAAGGAAAGATGGGAAGGAAGGAAGGAAAGAGGGAGTGAAGGAAGGAGGGAAAGGAGAGAAAGAGGGAAGGTTGGCCACAGCAACGTGTGGCGGGAACAGCTAGTAAATAAATAAATAGAATGCATAAAGGGAGATGTTTTTCGAGGCAGCATTCTTGCCCTGAGGCTTCCTCTTCCTTACTCCACGACCCAGAAAAGACAATTAGGGATTGGATTGCAACTCCCAGGAGCCTCGGGCTACTGGGGACACAGGGAGGAGCAGTCCAACCAGCTCCAATTGGGGGAAATTCCTCTGGAAACAAGTGCAAGGAGCAGTCTTTGCTGCAGCCTGCTTTTCCACTCTGTTGAACCGTGCAAAAGCAACGGCCCAAAACACATTGCTGAAAACTCAGACCTTGGAGGCATTTGGGGCCTGGCATGAAAGAACACGCCACATTCCTCAACCCTGCTAGCTGGGCAGCTAGAACAGCTTTTCAAATGGGATTTCGCTTGAGTAAAGCCACATTACACTCATTACACCGAAGAACGAATGCGGTTCAACCCCACTTTAACTGCCCAGGACTCAATGCTATGGGAGCATGGAAGTTGTAGTTTTACAAGGGGCAATCTACATTGCAGAACTGATGCAGTTTGACCCCACTTTCATGTCATGGGAATCTGGGATTTGTAGTTTGGCGATGCACCCGCACTTTTGGGCCTTGAAGATTTTGTAAAACTACAACTCCAATACCAAGTCCTAGAAGCACTTTAGTAGAACTAAGATTACTGCACACCGCACACTGCACTTACTTATAGAATCATAGAATCAAAGAGTTGGAAGAGACCTCATGGGCCATCCAGTCCAACCCCATTCTGCCAAGAAGCAGGAATATTGCATTCAAATCACCCCTGACAGATGGCCATCCAGCCTCTGTTTAAAAGCTTCCAAAGAAGGAGCCTCCACCACACTCGGGGCAGAGAGTTCCACTGCTGAACGGCTCTCACAGTCAGGAAGTTCTTCCTCATGTTCAGATGGAATCTCCTCTCTTGTAGTTTGAAGCCATTGTTCCGCATCCTAGTCTCCAGGGAAGCAGAAAACAAGCTTGCTCCCTCCTCCCTATGACTTCCTCTCACATATTTATACA